TTAAAGGGAGATTTCGCTGATACAACTAATTATGTATAAAGCCCAAGACGAACATCCACCCCATCCCATCAAAAATCAAAGGCTATACTTATCGGTACATAACAGCAGTCCTCCAGTATCACCACCAAAGGAACAGGTGGCACGGTGACTTAGTGATTAGCACTGCTGCCTCACAGCACCAGGGACCCAGGTTCAATTCCAGCCTTGGGTGACTGTCTGTGTGGAGTTTGCACATTCTTCCTGTGTCTGTGTGGGTTTCCATTGGGTGCTCTGCTTTCCTCCCACAGTCCAAAGATGCGCAGGGTAGGTGGATTGGCAATGCTAAATTGCCCATAGTGCCCAGGGATGTTTAGATTAAGTGGGTTAGACATGGGAAATACAGGAGTAGGGGAATGGGTCTGGGTGGGATGCTCTTTGGAGGAGCAGTGTGGACTTTTTGGGTCAAATGGCCTGTTTCCACACTGTAGGGATTCTATGATTCTAAAGGAAAACATCACAGTCCATTCATTTCTTTTTCACATCTAATGTGGCCTTCACAGCAGGGACTACTGGAAAGCAATCTCTTGCCTAGGTCTAGCACAATGAGGCCAACAACTAGATACTTTCGAATCTACTCCCTCTTCAGCATTGTTATTTGGAGCAGGTAGGACATAAAACAAGGCCACCTGGCTCCAAGATAGGGATGCTACCACTGTACTATATGAGCCCTCTTGAAGCCAACTGCTACACTTTTTATAATTAGTTCAGGAGAGGTCAGCATTTAATGAAGGTGATCCACTGTGACTAGATTGGTAATGAATTATGCAGGGAATGATCAAATACAACTGGAGAAAAGTGTAAGCGAGTGGAAGTTAACAATGTAAATTTCATTTATTAAATTACTGAAATTGATGGAATGTTAATTTTCACACATCTTGACATTTATGATGGAATCTTCAGGATAACACTCTTAAAGCGTTTCTTTGATTTAAAAAACTGCTAAAGCAGTAATAATGAAGATAAATTATTTTTTAAAAGACTTTTTCTTCTTCCACAGACCTAGATGAAAGGACGCATTGCACAACACTGTACACTGCCTCAGAAGATATCATTTGTTGAATGCAATTTTACATTCAGGGTGTAAGAATGATAATGACAATGCATTTTGTTTCCTCATCTTTGAAGATTTTTTTTTCCCCCAGAAACACCAGAAATGCAGGTTACTGACAATATGACATCTCATTGACGTCATCCCAAAACTCTTATCATGTCACATTAGGAATTTTACTTAGTTTTGAATTTACATGAGCATTCCATAAAAGAAAAGCAACTGAGGAGAGGCATGAATAACGACCTTCTTGTATTAAATCTAACAATCACGTAGAGTAGTCTTCCTTTTAAATACTGGAGTAGCTTGGTGGCAGTAGTTTTGATTCCTGAAAGCACGTATTTGTGTGTTGATGTCAACTAATGCAAGCTGTTGAGGACAATCCGCAAGAGTGGTTTTTCAACACTGAGATGGATTACCAGTTGACTGTTCCTACTGCACCATCACAGGAGAAAGAAGGAATAGATTCATCAAAGGATTTTACATGACACCAAAATGGACCCTTATTTGTGGTCATAGAGAAACTTAGTGGATATTCAGATTATCAAATGTAGAGTTGATTAAAAATAGGAATGAAGCAGCGAATAAAGCACTGAAAAAAAAACTTAAGTTATTTACTGGCAATATTGAAACATTGAAGGGCCAACAATGTTAAGGATATGTTGTTCATATCCAGAAGAGAATTATCTCCGAGCTTTGTTTAATGATATTGTTAATATCACGCAAACTCTTAGCGCAGAATACAGAAGAAAATGCGCAGACTCACAAGCTGTTGTGGTGTGTAATATTGCAAGTGTGCGTCATTAACCCTTTGAAATCAATAATTTGCATAAACAGAACAAATTTAAATTAAACTTAATCACCAGATGTTGGTTACATGTAGAGACATGAATCTCTGCTATTTTAAGGTAACTAAAGGAACAGATCAATGCTGAATACAGTATGTTATATTCAGATCTGTAGTCAATTTTAAACTGTTTAAACTGTTTTAGTGGGAGAAAAACACTGAACTGTCGTCCGTTGTTACCACAGTCCTGAATGTCTAGTTTCCAAAGAAACGGTTTAATAAAAAAAAACAGTTAAAAAGAATAAACAGAAAATGTGTGCTGTTAGCCAATAAATTATTCTCCACTATCTTTGGCAGATCCATTTTAGTGCATTCATGCAACATCCCTCTGTCTATATTTTAACTCCAATTTTAATCATTCCGTTTTAAATGAGTTAACGTGTTCATTAAAGTAATTGACAAAAAAATGTCATATGAATACAAAAGTGTTTGTCCAATAGTTTTAGTAAGAATAATTTTTTTTTGGCTATTGTCTGAAGTATGAAGAGAATCATTTAAAGAAAAAGGAAAATTTAACCTCATCAAAGTGGGAAAAAAAGCATGAATGTAAGTTGCGATCACGAAAATGTTACACTTCAAGTGAAGCATCTTCCAGGTATAGAATTCAAGTTAGCTCTTAAGGTTGTGAGAGCAAAGCTTTGTTCAATTTTGCAACCTTTGAATTCTTATTTCCCAATGTTGAGTTGCTATTCCACAGCACTATTTAAGATGGGAAAATCCTGGTTAAAGATAATATAATTCTGATATGTCTGTAACAATTTGTAATCTCTTCAATTTTGGCATAACAATTTTCCAGCCATCAAAATAGTGCTGGAAATTTGTTTGCACCATCTGCATGGATGTGAACTACTGGTATACTGTATTTTTCGTGAATGTATATCATAAAGAGCTACTGAGGTAGATTTTCAATCTGCCACCTAGGCATTAAACTGGGCTTGCGGATCAGCCACTCATTATAGAAACTGCCCTATTTTCATTTCTATTGATTTCAATAGAAGCAAGCGGTTTCTATAAAGGGCAATCAATCCACAAAGCCAGAAAACAAAATCTACGTCATTGTATTTACTTTATGCATCATGGCATATGGAACATACTAGCCGTGTAACTTAGGAGTACAACATAGACATATTCAATTGATACCTATGGTGTAGGTAGGTATAAGATATGCCCTTTGGCACAGTTAGGAGGGATGAAACAAAAAATGAACCATTTTGCATAGATGCTAGTCAACCCTAATTTGAACAAAACAGATATCTTGAACCGTACTATTCAATGTCATCTCAACATTACTTGACTGCTATGTGGTAGAACTATCCTATATTCATTAATGTTTATTGTATGTTACATTTGCTTATTGCCATTTGTTCAGTAATGTTATATTTGCATGTTCTATGTTACATTTGCTTCTTGCCCTGTGTTTAGTAATGTTATTCTGCTTATTGCCCTGTGTTTAGTAATGTTATTCTGCTT